TTACGGAGACTTGCCACGGTTTCCAACCCTCCTCCTTTCTCATCCGGGCTTGGGACCGGCCATGGCGGAGCCACTGTAACATAATCAGTTAATTTATTTTAATCATAATTCAGTTAATCTTATATCTGGTACGCAACACGTATGAAACCAAAATGTTAGTAGTTTCAGTGTTAACCATACAAAAGAGATGTAAAATTCGCAAAATAGATTGATTGCAGATTTCTGATATTCGACGCAGTGTAGCGAAATTTATGAAAACCGCCCGCTACTCGGTAACCATAATGACTTGCAAGAGTGATTACATTCTTAAGTGTTACCTGTGACTGAAAAACATGAGATTCTATCTGAAGAATGCAACTGTGGGATTTTAGTTTTACTTCCTGCATTATGCCAACAGAATAGCGCTGTTGATAGCGGCGAAAAGCGTGAACAAAGTCTAGGACGTTCAAGCAGTAGTGAATGAAATAGAAAAACGTACACAGGTGACCCCTAAAAATATGCATCTCTGCAATTGACTATTATAAAATGTCATCACATGTTGCAATCGTTGTGTGAAATGAAGTCAGTTTAGTCAATGAAGGAAGGCATTGCTAGCTGAAAACTGATACCTTGTGCAAAGATACATAGCTGAGTTGGAGTAAAAAATTGTTCATTTTGATCTACGGATCGATCTCATTACAGCATGTGAGGATGAGGTACGTCAACACTTAATTGCTGAAAAATTCCTTTATAACTGATTGAGAATACCCACATACACACTCTTAAATTGCAAGGAAAACAGCAGAGTGCTGTGAGCAAAGACTCTTCTCACTGAAATTACTTACAAGTACCACCTGAATTAAGTCCTGGTCTGCAGGCGGCATTGCGATAAAAACCAATTTTAGAGTTAAATACCAACGCTGAACACGTCGAGTTGGTTTCTTCACCACATATTTCGTCATTCGTAACAAAGAATCAGCTGGTCTTCACTGTGCTCCGTCAAACAAACCAACAACAACGAACAAAACGTCTGTCAGAAGCGATGGAAAAACGAAAACGCATAAATAAGAACCGTTCGAAAAACCAGTTTATGTGAAACAACGGATGACCACTGCTAAAGCACGGGACCGCCAACAACCATCTTGTTCTTCGTTATTCTCTCATGAAACTGGTACGTAGAACACAGGGTCGTGATACGGTAATAAAACGATTCTTTTTCTACCTGAACTACAGGCTTATTCACCCCGGCACAGCGGAGAATGTTACTCGCCTAGAAAATATGCTAAAGTCAGTCAAGTAGCTAACACAACAAAAATAAGTTAACAAACAATCACGAGACAAATCTAATAAGTGATACTCAACTAGTCGACAAAACAGGCAGAGCGTTTATAGCTTTCGCTTCGTTCAGTTTTGCCATCCTGGTGAAA